TAACATTCTACTAATATTTTCATTCACAAGAGACCAAGTGCTTAATTAACACTTATACCGATTCTCAAGCTATTTACCGACACAAAAGAGGCGGTGACGTGATAGCATGGTTCCCTAAAAACAGCCCTAAATACAAATACAGTTTTTGCTCTCCTCTACCACATTTTTTACTATTTAAATTTGCAATTTCTCTTCTACTGCAAGTAATAACTTTCTCAAAAAAAACCCAACAACAAAAAACAACCCAAGGGAAAAAACCAAGTAAACAAAAAAATCCCAAGCAAACAAAAAAGCCACTATAGCATATGTTTGTAAGAACAAGAACAAGTATTGCTTTCCTGTGATAATTTGTTCCAGTTTGCAGTTTTGCCTTTGGAAGCAAGCAGAGGCAAAGGAGATGCAGTACCACAGCATAATGCAGAATGATCTGTATCATTACTTAGTTTTGCAACTAAAAGTACAGAAAAGTGGTTGTTGTAATGACAGCTCTCAGCCACCAGAAGTTCCACCTAAAATCATATATTGGGTTCCTGTGATGGACTTGGAGTTAATATTCTTCACGGTAGCTGGTATGGGGATTTGTTTTGGATTTGTACTCAAAACAGTGTTGATCATCCTAGAATGGTTTGGGTTGAAAGGGACCTTTAAGATCACCTAATTTCAACCTCGTGTCATCGGCAGGGACACCTCCCACCAGACCAGCTTGATCAGAGCCCCATTCTACCTGGCCTCGAACACTTCCAGGGAATGGAGCAGCCACAGCTTCTCTGGGCAACCTGTGCCTGTGAACAGCAAGATGCTTTTGTTATTGCTGAGCAGCGCTCACACAGAGCCAAAGCTTTTGCTGCTGCCCACAGACCCCACCAGTGAAGGGGCTGGAGGTGTACAAGGAGTTGGAAGTGGACACAGGCAGGAAAGCTGACCCCAAATGACCCAAGGGATATCCAGCCCATATGGTGTCATGATCAGCATGTAAAGCTGGGGCAAGAAGAAAGACTAGAACACTGGTAACCATGGCATTTGTCTTCCCAAGCCACCCTTACACGTGATGGAGCCCTGCTGTCCTGGAGCTGAACACCTGCCTGCCCATTTTGCTTTCCTAATAAACTGCCTGTCTCAGCCCACCAGTTTGCTCAGTTTTATCCTTCCGATTCTCTCCCCCATCCCACCAGGGGACAGTGAGTGTGTGGCTGCACAGGGCTGAGCTTCCAACTGGGGTTAAATCACAGCAGTTGCTTTTTAATAAACCCTATAAAAAACAATTTACTTCTGTAGGCATATCAACTAGCAAATTTTGTGAGTTAACACTGTCACCATCTTGACAGACACTCAACTTTACTCCTTCCTAAGACATTCAAGATTGTCAAAACTGCAACCCTAGTCACAACATTGTACTCAAAGCAAGAATAAGCAGCCATAAAGGCAAGATAATTATTCTTCATAAAATAAAATCTTCACCAGATAACTATAGTTCTTATTACTTTTTTTGAATGGTTGCAACTTTTAAATGAGCCACCAGCCAGAAAAATGACGCTATTTTATCACAGAGCTTTTATAAGTAACAGACCGTTTCCAGATCTATCAGTTTATCCCACTATTCAATAGTGAGGGGTGAAATCAACACCATACATTCTTCTTTTCCTAATCAAGTATGCTTTACATCACCCACTAAATTCCAACCTCTGTAGAGTTGGTTAAAGCATCTAACATGCTACTAACACAGGTTAATTTGATATCCAAATTAGTCAGACTACTACTGAAAACTATTCATACCTGAGCACTGCTGTCTTCACTGTTTGCCTTGAAATTCTCAGTTAAGGAGAAGTAATACAGCAAAGTTCAAGTGCTGTCTATGTGATAACAAAAACCTAAAAAGCTTCTAAGAAATAACTGATAGCTTCCAAGCTGTCAGCATCTGCTCAGCATCCCTTCCTGTACGGAAAGGTTATACCTTGCTTCCTTAATAATGAGCAAGTACTTTGTTCTAATTATTAACAGGAAAGAAAATATGACTCTTATACAACTACTGAACAACATCCAAACTTAAGCTCCTTGTTCTCCTTGGGGATCCTAATACAAAGAAAGTAACTTCTGCCGGCATCTCCCAAGAGTAACTCTTCAGAAAAGACAATATAGGACATGCTTAAAAAAAAACAAAAAAAAAAAACACCACAAAAACCCCCACATTTTTAAACTGCTGAGCATCAAAACATTTTAAAAGATAATTAAGGAAACACTCAAACTACTGATTCTCTTACTTGATTGCGAAAGTAATATGAAGAGGAGTTACAAACATGAAGTTCATGTCACAGTTGAGATTTAAGTCTTGCTCCAGGTTTCTTAAAAATTCAGGAGAAAGACCCCAACACTTTGAGGTTCCATAGATATTTATTTAGATGTTATTATGCCACTGCAAATCCACTGTCAAGCAATACTGGTATCAAAAGTGAAACTAACTGTACATTGCAAACGGAAATCAAATTCCTTTTGCATTCCAAGGAAAACTACACACAGTTGTAAATTACAGATATTTAGCAATAAAAGAATCCCTTCAGTTTTCCATCAGTGTTTAGCAACTTTATGACTTGTATCCTTAAAAACACCACCTTGAGGGCTACTTGAAGTAAAAATCATGTAGAGAAACGTAGTCAATGCAGACATTTTCCCAAAAACTTAAAACACACCAGTAATAATGTGTACCACAGCCCAAGACCACAGACCAAGCCCAACAAATTTGTTTTATCAAAGGAAAAGATATCCAAGACACCCACCAACTATCAGACAAAACATCAAGATTTATCCAAGGTTGTTTGTCACACCTCCACACTTTCCTTTTTAGAGATGAGAATGACCTCTACACTTACATCAGCTACACCAGGCACAAGCAAAGAACCCCAGTACTTCAGACATTTTCAGAAGCTGCATCTGCTCCCATTTGGGGGGACTATTCTAAAGCAGGGAAAATAACCTGTCCCTTGCCAAACAGGAAGGGCGATACAAAGAAAAGTTTAAACATTTGACAGGAATCAAATCAACCCATAAAGCAAACTCCCTTAACACAAGTCATTTGAAATCTTTTCAGGAAAGAGTCATGCAGTAAACACCACCCTGTTGACAAACCCCATCATGCAATTAAAGTCATCAGAAATTATGATGTTTGAGGTTTTTTTAATAAAATGCATATTTTTGAAACACAGGCCACTATCTCACCTTTTCAGTTTAATTTATTTTGCAGTTCACACAACTAAATTACTCTTACATATCCACTCACTTTGTGCCACACAGTAAGAGCATTAAGTTTGCTTTGCAAACACCACTTTAAAATTACTGTTTTCGCTAAAAAATTCAAACTTCTAAATGTGTTGGTGTTTTTTATTAATAAGTTTTGCAACAGTTTAACAAAACAACGTTTTTTCTAAACGGTTTCTCAAAAACGAGACAATCCTTTATATAACATAAGAGGTACAGGAGTGGTGGGGAATTGAATCTAAACATAAGCCTTCCACAAAGTTAACCCTGTTTAAAGAATTTTAAGAAATTTAAACTTAGATTACAGCTCTTTCATATTGACAGACAACATGAGGAGGAAACACATGAATCATATTTCACTCCGTTTCAGCAGCGGCTGCTGTGAATTCACAGACAGGACATCTGCACTTAGCAAAATACAACTTCCTTTACATGAGGAAACACCCACACGCCGATTTAATCACACAACCCTCCCTTCCCCGTCCCAGACAGGGTGGGCTCGGTGGGGCAGGAGGCGAGAGCGAGCGCGTTTTGGGGGAAAGCAGCAGGGGCTGCCGGAGCAGGAGCAGCCCTGAGCCGGGCTTCTCCAGCAGCAGGAAGTTTCCAAGGGGCCTTGCCGAGCATGCGCCGTGGGCCGCACGGGCTCCCTATGTGGCAAGAGTGCAGAGGCAACAACCAAACGAATAACAGAGACAAGAGATCAAGAGCAACAAGCTCCCTCCCCTCTGTATTCCTGCGGCCGCCTCCACACAGCCCTCCTTGCCCAGGCTGCTCTCTTGGCCCGGGCCCTCCCGCATCCATCGCGGGCAGCTGGGATTAGGGAGTCTGGCAGGCAAACCTGCTACTGGAGAGGGAGGAGAGGAGAGCGAGAGCGGCTCGAAAGCAAACAGAGGAGTGCATAACCTGTGCCTCCACCTCGCACGTCTCAGGTGGCGGCGGGGGAGCAGCAGCGAGCGCACAGCGTGTCCCCCCCGCAACTGGAAGAGGGGATGGGGGAGGAGGAGGGGGGAGAAAAGAGGGATGGAGGTGGCACACAATGGCTGTCTGTGTTTGTGGGGAGGAGACGGCCCACAACAGCAGCCGTGGGGGGGCTCAGGGCTTCTCCGTGGCCCCCATTCCTCATCGCAGATACACCGAGGTGAAAGGGAGGGGGTCACTGGGGATCGGGACATTCCCATGTGTTCGTATATATGTGCGCCCTTCTTCCTTCGGGGGAGAGGTAAAAACGGGCAGAGATATTGGGGGGAGGGGGGGAAGAGGCTGTGAAGCGCCCCCCAAGCTGTGGGGAAGGGAGGAGGTGGAAGAGAGACCGGCTACCAGCGCCAAGCTGAACGAAAATAGTTATTTCGTCTTATGCCTGTTTTCTGCAAGGAGTCCCACCCGCACAGAGCTCGGGAACGAACCCAGGGAAGCGGGGGGGGGAGGGAGGAACGGAGGGGGGTCACAGGCGGCACTGAGAGGGAGCAGAGGGGAAGGGGAAGGCCCCCACCTCCTTCCCGTGCCCGCCGCGGGGGCAGGCAGCTCTCCCCCCAATATACACACACAAATAGCTGCTCCCCCCCGAAAAAACAGGGAGAGAGGGCTCCCCTCCCCCCGGGAATCCCAGGCCCCTCCTCTCCCTCGGCGCGCTCCACCCCCGGGGCCGGGAGGAGGCGGGGGGGGGACAGCCCCGGCCCCCCCTCCGCCCCCCGGGCCCCCCTCAGCCGGCCGGCCCGGAGCGGGCGGGCGGGAGCGGTATGGGAGTCGCTTACCTTGGTCTCCGGGCTCCTGCGGCGGTTGCAGGACGCGCTCCAGCTCCGGGAAGGGCAGCTCGGGCAGGTCCAGCAGGGCCCCGTAGCGCTCGAGGAAGGAGCAGACAACGGCGAAGTTGGGCCAGGAGCCCGGGCAGCGCGGGCCCGCGGGGGCAGGGGGCGGCGGGGATGGGGCCGGAGGAGCCGCCGCCGCCGCCGCCATCTTGGACCTGGGGATGGAGAAGGAGCTGGGGAGGGGGAGGGAGGAGGGGGCGCTGCCGGGCCGGGCCGCCACTATCCCACAATGCACCGGGGGGACGATGAAGGCAGGGGAGGGCAGGGGGCGGCGGCCAGAGCGGCGCGAGCCGGCTCCCCTCCGCCGCGCGCGGCGAGGGGGAATGAAAACAAGGCGGGGCAGGGGCGGGGGTAGGCCCACGGCCCGACCAATCGGAGAGGGCGGAAGGCGGGACCGGCAGGGAGCGCTGCCCAATGAGAGCGTGGCAGCCTGGAGGCCCCGCCCCCTCCCCGCGGGGCCAGGCGGAGGCGGAGCCTGGCGGGGCAGCGGGGTCGCGCGCGCGGGGCGGTGAGTGCGGGCGCGTGAGGGAGCCCCGGCGTGAGGGGAGCGGGCGGGAGGCGCGGCCGGCGCCGGTGCCTGTCCCGGCCCTGGTGCCTGTCCCGGCCCTGTGCCCCGTCACGCCAGGCCGTGTTTCGGGCGGTCCTGAACTGCGCCTTCCCTTCCCAACTGCCTCCCTCCACCCCTCCCGCGGTGCTTCTCAGCGTTCTCCGTCCTTGTCTCCTTGCTTCTCTCCGCTGTATTCCCGAAGTGCTGTTCCCCTCACTCTTCTCTCACTGCCAGGTCCCCGTGATCTCCCGGTTAACTGCCGTCACAAGGCTCCCCAGCGAAAAGCAATTGCTGAATTCCCAAATTGTGTTTTCCTCCTTCGTGAACTTGACACCTTCCCCCTCCCTACACAGTTGATCTAAACTTCTGCCGTCCTGTCTGTTCGCCTTGCTGCCGTCAGTTTTTCATCCTGACCTTCCTCTGGCTGCTGTATCCCCAGGAATGGGAAGTCGCCGCCTCCTGCCTCTGCTCCCAGGCAGCGCTGGAAAACCACGTTGTCCTGTGACACCTTACAGGAATTTGTTCTGCCCAAAACTTCACGTACACCTCTGCTCCCAGGCAGCGCTGGAAAACCACGAGGGATTTACTCTTCCCCCTGTATCCTCTTCAGTCTCAGGTTGCCCCTTGGATTTTACAAAGCGTCCTTTCCTTCTTCAGCGTCTCAATAAAATGTCATCGGGTGCACTGCTCTCATTCACCTCTTTTATTTCATTTATTGCTGGTTACCTCCACAGAAGAAAGGTGCGCTGGCAATCTTAAAGTCCACCAGCTTGCCCAGCTGCAATTCAATCTCAGCTTTCTTCCACTTCCTTCTCAGCTACTTTTGCCTTCTGCCATCCTTATCCACCGCTTCATTTCTCTTTTTCAGTATAGTCTCCTAGCATAAACATTCATTTTGCCTCCTTTTAAGTTCTACTTCTTTTATTTCTGATGTTTTTAAACTCTCATGACTTTGCTTGTAGAGTTCTGAGCCATTTCTGCTCCTTGTCTCTTTATGTTTGGACTGCTGCAGTTTGCAGAAATTGCAATTTTAGATTGTACTTGCGAGTAATTTAACTCAAGGCTTCTTTTGATCTTAAGTGTTAATATATATTTTAATACTTTACATTTCTCACAGTGAATAATTTAAAAAATAGTTTGTTTGAGAACTATTTTCCTGCTCCTCAGTGATTGAGGAGCCATGCTCTACATCAAAGGATGCCCAAAGTTTCTATCAATGAGTTCATTCTCACTTTAAGATGTTCATATTTATTCTAGTGATCTGATAATCTTACTGGCAATATTATGGGAAATAGTTTTAGAGGACAAATTTTTATTTGTGCCTTGTAAGTTTTGTTGCTTCATTTCTGCTATTTACTTATTTTTACGCCGTTTATAAAAGATATCGTGGAATCCTTGTTCTCTCATTCGCAGTTTGTGCCTGTTTGATTGCACTGTTCCAGCCTTGTGATACTTTTTGGATTATTCCTGATCATCTTGTTGTTCATTCACCTATGTCCAACCTCCAGGTCTAATTCTACCATTTCACCTGAAAAGGAGCACAGGCAAAAATTATTTTCATTCTTCAGAGGCAGGTTCTGGGTGCTTTATTCAGCCTTTACTCTTTGATTTCATTCTGTTGGGACTACTGCTGGTTATTTCTTCAGCTAGAATATCCCTTCAGACAGACCTTTGGAAAAATAATCTTACAAATCCTTGTTTCAATCCATTGCATCATGGGTGTGCCATGAGAGAATCTAGACTGTATTAATCCAAGCAAGTTTTAGTCCCCTCTAGCTGCTTGCCTCGCTCCTGTTTGACAGGACACATGTGGCACTAACTTCTCTCAGGAGTGAGAAGGAGAAGAAATGCCCCACTGTCCTGTGTGAGAAGCACCTCTGGCACCCTCAGTCCTTGCTGAATCCAAAGCAATGCGCTTTTTCCTTCATGCAGTGTTTTAGGTGGGATACTGAGATCTGCTTCTGGCAATCCAAGGAGAGCACATCCCGTCTGGCACTGCTGCACCTTTTGTAGCACATGCAAGACAGGAAGGGAGGCTTCCAGGAGGACTGGAAGCACGGTCATCTAAAGATTTATCTTTTGCAAAGGCAGTGCCTTTAATCTGTGCTGCCAGGGTTCGTGTAATGAATTTAAGCTATTCAATTCCTGGTGAATGTAAACAATTAAAAAATAAAGGATGAGAATCTGTGTATCTGGAAGGATCTGCCACAGAGATGTTGTGGATTAGGCAGAGGTGGACCTCTTTCTACTGGAGAAACATCATGTTTTCTTCAAAACACGGGTTTCAGACCATGCGCCTTGGAAGGGCAGAAAGATGACTCTGCCCTGGAGATGTGTCAGTGGACTGCCACGCTAGTCCAAAGCATTTCCAGGCTATCATCCCCCTGTGATTCCTCTCTTTCCATTCACTGCCAGAATCACCACAGCAATCAGACTGCAGTACCTGAGGGACAGTGAGGAGGGGAAAGCTTCTGTGGGGAGCTGACACGGGGCCTTGTGAGGCAGTTCCTGCCCTGCTGGTGCCCAGCAGTGATTGTGGAAGCGGATCGATCCCAACATCGCTGTGCCACACACCAAAAAGCAGTTGGGCTACAGGGGCACTGATAAGGCTCTGTCAAGTTCTAGGCAACAGACATCAAAGGAGGATGTGTACCAGTGGTTGGCTGCTAAAGGAAAAAGGGAGAAAATAAGCAGAGACTTAGAAAACATGACTGAAGGGATGTTTATTTAATCTAAATGAAATAAAAGAAAAATACTGAGTGAAATCCTCAAGAAAACAGAACAAAAGATTAAAAAGACAAATATTAAACGTTCTACTTGTCCCCAGCAGAAAGGATTAGAAATAATGGATTTAAGTTGAAACAATGAAGATGGAGCTCAAGCAATTGGACAAGTTCTTATTTGGATGTATAATCCTGGGGGAGTTGGTCTCTGTCAGCAGTGTCTGGGGAAAGGCTTGACCCCTTTACATCCCTGAAAGTCTTGTTTTCTCTAGAAATGTGACAGGGACACTGGTTCATGGCTTTGCAGTTGGGCTTGTTTGGCATTTCCTTTTAACCTCATTTAACACTTCAATGGTAAAAGAAGAAAGTGGCCAATGAAATAGTGCAGATTTCTGATATTTTAGGAAATTATTATCATCCTCATTGTTCATTTTCAGGAGAAGATTAAAACCCAGATGTGAGAGGATATTCTGGGACCTGATCCCTGTTGATAGTTTTAGAAGTTGAACATCCAATACTTGAACAGATTTAGCACGTAAAATGATTTGCCCAAAATCCTGCACAAAATCCCCAAGAGGACAGGCAATTCAACAAATCTGCTGATGCTCAGTTCAAGTCTGTTGTCACAAAACCACGTGGATAAAGTCTGTAACAGCATTTCCTTCCTAGCTCCTTGGGGCGAGGACAGAATTTTCCGTTTTTATTACCATGCTGCATATGTTGGCCTGATGTTAAGTATTAAATATCCTTTTTCCAGACTCCGGTTCAACTTTGTGATGTCTTCCCCTGAAATTGCTTCCCTTTCTTGGGGTCAGATGAAGGTGAAAGGCTGCTCTACAACATATAAGGACTGCAAAGTGTGGCCGGGAGGGAGCCGCACGTGGGACTGGCGAGAAACCGGGACTAATGTAAGTTTGCTGTTTTGTACCCTACCTTTGAAACAGGACTCTGAGAATGGTCCAGAGAACAGTGTTAAAGTTCCAGCCAGAAATTCAGTGAGCTGCCTTTTTCTTTCACCTAGCCATTAGATTTTTCTGGTAAGAATTGAGTGAATGTTTTGGAGGTGACTTTGTGGGGGTCAGAGGGCTGCAGTCCCACTACGTCCTACACACAACAGGGTATAGCAACTGTTGCCATGAGTTCTGACAGCCACCCTCACCAAACAACTCACACACCTCAGAGCTCTCAAACAATATTCCTCATCTGTTTAGGAGTGCAATTGTCATAAGGTGCCAGTAACAACCTCTCTTCAGACTGTCCAAACAAAAGTTATCTTGAGTGAGATAGGGAAAGAAATTATGAAGAGTTAAAAAAAAAAAAAACAACCAGACAGTAACTGATCTTGCATGTTTGGAAGACAACATTGCATGTGGTTTAGTTTTTATCCTTTTCCTTGGGGTCCCATGTACATATTTTAGAGGAAAAATATGCAGATACAGTGTCTCATGCTCTATTTTCTCTGTGAAAAGCTCACGGTCTGGCTAATCACACAGTGACTTCTCTTGGTAGCCATATACTAAGTGCTTGCCCTTGTAATTTTTAAGGTTTATCTGTAAATGCAATCAGAATTGGATGAAAGTACATGGAGCAGTATTGATGTTTCAGATTTAGAAGCAGTATAGCATATATTGCAATAGGAACTGGATGTTGATAATTCTCCCCATATTAGGACTTGCACTGGGATAGAAGATTGGCTAGGAAAAAAGAAGTTCCACACTTTCAAAGCAAAAGTTAAAGCACAAAATAACAATGTAGTGACCAGGCCCAGCACCTGCAGCTGTATCCATGCAGAGGATGCAGCTCTCTTGGATTCATTTTGACACAACTGAAATGCAAAGCATTTGGGTTTGCAAGTTCATCTGTAATCTTTGGGAGAATAGAACTTTTTTAATCCGTCAGAGTTCAGTTTATGCAGAATATATAACACCAAGGAAAAGTGCTGCTGTCATGCAAAGATATCTGCACCTTGCAGAGGAAAAGGTAGCTGTATGTAACCTTCTAAAATGTATTTCATTTATGGCCTGTTTATTAAAAAATAAGTTTTCACTGGCTGTTCAAAAGGCTGGGTTTTGTGGTGAGAGTTGCTGTCTGCTTGCTTGACAATATCATTTTTGTGCTTTATATTCACATGGCTGGAGAAGCAGAACAGGTAACAATAGCCAAAAAGTTCCCAACTAGTTCCCATCCCAATCACATTTTTATATTTATTCCAACCACTGGAAAATTTTGGTTTCAAATTATAGGCACTTACTAACATTTAGGAGGCTGTGCTTTCTTTTGAAAGTTTCTAACAAGGAATATCTTCTTGTCGTAAGTACAATGTTTAAATCCATAAGTTTTTAGAGGACTTGTAAGACAAGTCAGTGTTAAATTAAAATTGGAGGAGAAAAAGAATAGTTGGGTTCTCTGGAGAGGTAGGTTTTCTGGCATCCTTTTTATTTAATCAGGAAGTAAAAAATACATATCTAAAGTAAGGCCTTATGTAAGTCACTTGTTCAGCTCCTGCTTTAGTTCTATCCTTGCAGCTGAGGAGTGAGGTGATTTTCTTTTAAAATAAATAGCAAACAACAAATATTAAGAATAGAAGTAAGCTTTTTCTAGGCTGCATCTCCAATGTTGAGAAGAACTGTCAATACTTTAATTTTGTCAGCACTGGAAACAGTAAGATTCAACAGCTGCATTTTCTGCCACTCCATCTTTTTTAAAGATGGAGTAATTTACTTACTTACCTTAAGCATGTTTTTCCTGGAGGTAGCTGGAACTGAAGTGTGGAAAACAAGCAGTGCTGGTCATGTCCTACTCTCTAGTTGGAAATAAATTGCTTCCTTTCCTCCTCTGCTGTCACACTGCTGTCGAGTGAAGCATTCTTTCATCAGGAAAATTGTATAACTGGCCCTGCAAGGTTCTGTAACTGAGCACTAGCAGTTATTGTGGCCTTAACCCTTGGGGATGAATGGCACCCTCTCTCCCTGGCTGGCTGCATTTCAGTGCCATCTGCTAATGGCAGAAGAAAAGATGTAGGTATTGCTGAAATGAAGGCCAGAGAACAGAGCAGGCAAGAAAATCTGCTGTCAAATCAACAATGATACAGTTATTTCATCATGTTACATGTCTCCTTTAGTAACACTAGTTTCTTGCTAGCATCAAAGTGTTCTGTGTAACCAAAGAAAATCCTTTTGTTCCATGGATTTAATATCTCAAGAGCGCTTCTCACGTGACAGCAAACCTTCCCCAGAATTCTAATTATTGTAATTGCAGTAAAACACACCAATTCTCCTTGTCTAAGTTTTGAGTCTACTTAAAAAACCCCAAAGGAAAAGCATTGCCTATTCTGTCATAAACAAGTACTTAGAGTGATTTGGTCTGAGAAAGCTCTGCCCATTCAAATGAGTTCTATATTCCAAGTGTGGATATGGAATGTAAACAGACTAAGGGGAACACAACCTTTGGTCCTGGCAGGGTCCTGGCAGCCCAAAGGGCCAGACATGTCCTGGAGCGTGTCAAGCACAGCACAGCCGAAGGAGGTGCTTGTTCCACTCTGCTCTGTGCTGGGGCAGCCCCACCTCAAGTTCTGTGTGCAGTTTTGGGCACCTCAACATAAGGAGGACATCTGACTGTTAGACTGTGTTCCAAGGAGGGTGATGAAGATGCTGAAAGGCCTCGAGGGCGAGGCTTATCAGGAGCACCTGAGGTCATTTGGCCTGTGCATCTTGGAGAAGAGGAGGCTGAGGGGTGAGACCTCATTGCAACCTAAAATTTCCAGAGGCAGGGCAGTGCAGGCAAGGTCCTGATCTCTCTGGTGACCAGCAGTAGAACCCATGGAAATGCAGTCAGGCTGCAAGGGGATGTTCAGATGGAGTGTTAGGAAAAGGCTTTCCACCCAGAGGATGCTCAGGCTCTGGAACAGGCTCTCCAGGGATGTGATCACAGAGCAAGCTTGTCAGAGTTCCAGAAGCATCTGGATGATGCTCTTAAGTCGTGGTTTAGCTCAAGATAGTCCTGTGAATGATTCTCATGGATCTCTTCCAACATGAGGTGTTCTATGATTCTGAGAACTTGGAGAACCATAAAGGTGAATCATCTCTGTTGCTGAAATTTCAGACATTAGCCATCCTAAAGACTTTCTTGTGGAATAAGTTTAATTCACTCATTGGAAGTGGCACTCTACCATGGAAGGCTTTTTTCACCTCTAACTTTAGGAGCTCATGTGTTTGTTTCAGCTTGGAAAGTCTTACTTGCTCCATTCTCCACGAGTCCATCATGGCATGACCTACTTCAAGTGAGAAATTCAGACCTCTTGAAAACTTCAGAACTTCAAAATTCTACTTGAAAAAAACAAAAAAGGAGTGGGGGGGACAAATTAATATTTATGTTTTAAAAATAAAAATACACACCAAAGAGGGGCCAAATTATAGCCACAGGATTCCAGTATCTTACTCTTGACCACATGGAGATACACAGAAACTGAATCCAGGAGGAGAATTAGGGTAACATAATAATGTTTTATTAACATAGGTGTGTTTATGCATTCATACGTTTAAAGCATAATAGCAGTAAGTGGGTGTACTTTTTAAAACATCTGTTAATGTGGTGTGTAAGTTCCTTCTTTCTCTGGGGCATTTGGATTCAAATATTCTTTTCTCAAAATAAAGAATAGTGCAGAAATCCAAGCTGTTAACTGAAATTAAGCTACCCAATAAATTTCAGTCCTCTTTGGTGAGATTTGCAAAGTAAACAAGAAAATGATTTAATAATTTTAATTATCTGAGGAGTTATTTGTATTTAATGTGAGTAAACTTTGGCTTGCAACCATCTTTCTTTCAAGTAGATGTTGCGATTTTGAAATCAAACACCAGTATTGTTGCAATTTATTGATTTCACCTTAACTGTTAATATTTATAAAATATCAGAAGTTAGACATAAATGTTTAAGAAATTGTAATGCATCTTTTTGGTTTTGATAAGGAATTATAATCTCACCATCAATCAATTAATTATCATCCTTCATTTGCATATTAAATACCTTTTTCAGTTTCTAATGTTATCTATTGTGTGTACATACAGAAGAGGGTTGAGTTACATTCTGGTTCTGCTAATTTACCCTGCTGCTCTGTGTTCAGGACACACAGACACAGCTTTCCTGGCTGATGCTGTCAGTACACAGACTATTATTTTCCTTCCCTGACACTTAGCATTCTCCAGGAGTGCAGCCAGCTGACCTTGAAGAAGTCGTCAAGAAGGGTGTTAAAACTGTGGTGATTGGTCGTGGCATGAGCGAGGCTTTGCAGGTAGGTTTTTGTTCTGTGACAAGCATGAAGAGAACTGTTTGTTTTCCCTCTCCCTCTGATTAGGAGGAAAAAAATTAAATCGATGATGCTTCACTGAGAGAGAAAAAATTGAGGATCAGTGTGAATGAGCTCCTGTCAGGGGTCCCTCAGGTCCTGAAAGAAACATCATTTGAGCTCCTCTGTGTTAGTGTCCGTGTCAAGCAGTAAACAGTTTATGTTCTGCTGCAGGAACAAATGAAATAAGAATTTTTCAGAATGCCATTAGTCCTCTCCTCTTGCAATAGGTTGTAACTGGCTCTCTAGCCTGCTGTAAATACTGTGGTAATTAGGCATTCTTGTCACAATTGTTGCCCGGGTGTCATTTCAACAGATAAACTAGCTACGGAAAGCTCAGATCAGAAGTGCTGAGCTTTACTTGGTGAGAAGCAAGTCTTTAGCTTTCTGGTGGGATGAATAACACCTTCTTTAGATTAAATTCCTTTAGTTCCAATTCAGTTTATTTTTGTAAGGGAGGACTGCATTTTAAAGTGTGCTAAGGAGGTAGGGGAGGTATGTGTATGAAAGTAGCTTTATTGAAAAGAAAAAAAAATCAATCTTAGATCTATCTGAGCATTGTCATTTTGGCTACTGGCAGTTACTTAAGTCATGTTTTACAAATGGCTTCAGTGTCTGGTTTTCTACAAGTCTTACAGTTTAAGGGAAAAATAATCTGATTCTTGCTTTTGTGATTTCCTTTTCCCTTCCGAGGTTCCAGCATCCACTGTGGACTATCTGAAGAAGAACGGCATTGACGTGCTGGTGCTGCAAACGGAGAAGGCTGTGGCGGAGTACAACGCCCTGGCTGCTCGGGGTGTCAGGGTGGGCGGGGTGTTCCATTCCACCTGCTGAAGCGCTGCTCGTTCCGCCTTCCCGGCCCGCAGCCGGGACACGCCGACACACCTCTGCTGAATGCGATTGCCAAGGCATTTGTGCGCTGACGAGCGAAAACGCAAAGACAGTTTATTAGTTCAGGATTTAAACAAATCGAGGGCTCACAAAAGGTGGGGCTGTTAATGTAATTAAATAGTTTAATTACAGAATAATTTCCGTGTATTGTTGAGATTGACCCAATTTTTCTCTGAAGGCCATTCATAGTTTTGTTACTTGACTTTTCACCTGTTCGCTAAATCAGGAAATTATGTTTTGAATACTTTTATTAGAAAATGGCCCAAAATTACATTACTGGTTACTGGAATGCAGCCATAAAATAGCTGATGAGCACAATCAAGTAGTAGATATGAAGTGGTGGTAAAGAAGCACTTTACCACCACTGGATAAATAAGTTAAAAAAAAAATTAAACAGCAAACCGAGAACATACAACTTTACCTCCTGCAGGTGACCTCAGTCAGGGTGTTTGCCAATTTATGAATATCACATAATAGAGCACTTTTAAATTTTTCATTGAGCCTGAAAAAGGGGAAAAAATGTCAACAGGGTATAAGCATAAAACCTGGGCCTTAAAGAATTTTATTATTAATTGCCACTTTTGAGGATTGAGCTGTCTAATACATATCTATTCAGCAGTTTCTACATGCTTAAAATAATCAGAAACGTGTGTTACAAAACTAGAGTTTGCAGCATAAAACATTGATCTTTAGCACATCAGTCTGAATTGCTGCTAGCAAGGCACTGCTGGCAAGCTGGGGATGCATGTGAGACTTGTTACTGGTCATCATTATCTGATGATTTAAATGTTGTGCCAACAAATATTATTACACTGCAGATTCAAACAGTTCTCTTGGTTGCTGTTCTTGGTGAGCTTCTATCAACATTGCCAGTTACAAGTTCTACCTACTGTAGATTTTTTTTTCCCCATCAGGCTCACCATTTCTTGTTCTGTACATATTAATTCTGTGTGTATTAATAAAAGTACCAAGATGAAGCTGCAAAAGCCCTGAGGCACTTGGAGCTATCCAAGCAGCAGTAGAGAGGCTTAGATTGGTGGCGAGCACAATAACTTTCCCAAGATGCACAAAATACTTTGTTCTTTTTCTGCTATTTGCTCTAGTACTCGTCTAGAACCTTTTATCTGATAAAATACAAAATGATGTAAAAGCAAAGGGAAAGTGAGTACTTGAAAGTTTTATCTTGCAGTCTCCTAATGACAGCACTGTTTTCTGTTAGTGTAGCTACATTTGAGGCAAAATCTTACGTAACCCAGCAGGGACTGCCTTTCCAGCTGCAAGTGTTGTCTGACACAGCAGCTGGTGTAATGCTCATTGTAGCTGCTGTGACATTTTTCTGCACAACTTGCCTGGTGTGAAGGAGAAGGTGAACTACTGACCCAGAAGACTGTGGTCACCCCAAGGGAATGCCAGCAGAACGAGTTCCTACCAGCGCACAGAGTGTGGAGACTTTTTGCACTAAATGTTATCTGGTAGTGAAGGTGGTTTGACTCTCTTGATCGTGGTCATGTATTTGTGTTGTTTTGTGAGCTTCTGGGCCTTAAGGCAGCCTCAAATGGGAAAAGGCTTTGTAATGCTTTGGCTGAGAAAACATTGCAGTACTTAAAAAAATGGAACCATGCACATTACACTGTTAGGAGAAGTTGAGCAAACACCTTATCTTTCTCCTCCAGGTCTGTTTGTTACCTTTTTTTTTTTTTTTTTTTTTTTTTTGTAACATATTTTCATCTTAATGTGGCACATTAATGGTGATGCCACATTCACCAAAGCTGCCTAGCTCAGGTCCTGCATTTGAGACAAACACTGTGGGCTCCTTACACTGCTGCTGCCACATGATCTGTCCTCCCAAAAGGCATGCAGGGAGCAGAGCCCGTTTTGTATTGCCAGCTGACTGAGGTGTACCCTACCCAGCTTTGTGCTGCAGCCTCTTAATTCTTCCCTTCATTTGGCAACTGGTAGGATGCAGAAGATTCCACTTCCAAAACAGGGAGCTGCAGTGTGCAAAGAAATGGATTTATTTTTTTAAAGGTAAACTGCTAAGTTTCCCCACCACCAGTACAAAATTTTGGTGTCAACAAGGAGATTATTTGCTGCAAGTTTTTCCATCCATGTCTTCTCTTGCTGCTCTCGTCACAGCTTCCTGAGTCAGCACTGTCAGTTCCCACAATAGCATCTGTTCCACTTGGGCTGCTCCAGTCACTGAAAGCCCGATTTCCTTCTTGGTGCCTGAAATTGCTTTGCTAGATGGTGGAAGCAGCTGGGATTGATTCATCAAAAAATTCCAGCAGAGCTCAAACTGGTATCTTTGTTAAATTGCTGCTTTCGGCTAGAGCCATAAATAATTTGTTAAAATTATGGGCTCATAGCCCAAATCATGGGAATGCACTTTTATAGGGCAGGATTTCTCACATACACCACTGCTCTGCCTCCCACCAGGAAAACGATCTCCCAGTAGGCAGTGAACTCCCACCCTGACGCTGAAATTAAAGCTGAGCTGCGGCTGGGCTGGGAGCCAGGAAGATTCCACCCCAGCTGCTCTGCCGCCGAGTGGGTCAGTCCCCTGCCTTTATCTTTGTGAAGCAGCATGTGTGAGCTGGCAGCCCGGAGAAACAGGCCATAAAAGGCTCACAGACACCAAATGCAACACGACCAGCATTTTTAAGGGACATTGGGCAGCATTTGTGCAAAGCCTGGCATCCACAAGCCTTAAAACTTTGTATTTTGAAGTCCCACTGATACTGCATTAGCAAACTGTAAAGCAAAAATACAGCCTTTTCTGCATTCGCAGTGCCTGTTACTAAGAATAAAATGGAAGATGCTAGTGAAATAAGATTTTAAAAGTGATTATAACTTAGGCAAGCAAGACAGGATTCCAGAGGAAATCATCTCTGTGAACTTGAACCAAGGTGATGACCAGTACAGCATAGTGGAGAGCGCAAGTCAGACGAGGAGCAGCCTGAGGAAGCTGGGGGTGTTCAGCCTGGAGAAAAGGAGGCTCAGGAGGGACCTTATCGCTCTCTACAACTGTCTGAGAGGAGATTGTTGCCAGTGGGGTGTCAGTGACAAGTGACAGAACAAGAAGAGACAGCCTTAAGTTGCACCAGAGAAGGTTTAAATTGGATATTAGGAAAAAATATCTTTCACAAAAGTGTTGCCAGGCTTTGGAACAGGCTACCCAGGGAAATGGTGGAGTCATCATCCCTGGCAGTGTTCAAAAGGTGTGTGGATGTGGCACCTGGGGCCATGGCTTAGTGTGGGTGGGGTAGTGCTGAGTTCATGGTCTTAGAGGTTTTTTCCAACCTATATAATTCAGTGATGTCACACAGTCCTGATTTAAATGTTCATTCGTCTTCCCAGGAACTTGCTTTGTACTTTTTGCAGTGAGTGTCCCTGCCCATTTAGTTTTTCTTTTCGTCCTTTTTAAAATAAGATAGGTAAAAACCACACTAGATCTGAGTTAATGTCTCATAAGCTTCAGTTTTGTTCCCAATACACTTATGTATTGTTTTATGAGCTCTTGACTCAGTAATTGAATTATTTACTTCCAAATTTGCATAATGAATTTCACTGGACTTCAGCAATCTGGATATGAATTTCCCACTGAAAGCATTCAAAGCTGCATTTCCCACGTACACAGATGCCTTATTTAAATTAAATCCAGAAAGTTAATGGTAAATAGGACAACACATTTTCAAACCACTAAGCTATCCCTCTTTCACATGAGGTCAGCATTCTCCTTGCTCTGCCAGATTCTTTTCTCTCTTGCTTCCATCTAACTAGCAGGTACAATGCAGAGGTGAGGGGTGTTTGAACATTGTTGGTTCTTAGCAAATTATTTGCCCTTCCTTTGTAGATTGCTCCCTTCCTTTGTAGATTGTACAGCTGTGGCTGCAGCTGTACTGGCACACTGTTCCTACACTTGGAACCATCTGAGAGAACAGAAACTCCCTATACTTGGGTGACTGTCATCCGAAATCCTCTGTTCCCCCTTCAACAGAGATGAAAGATGCAAATTATCTTTGTGCATGATTAGAGCCCTTTGTTTTTCTTTTCATTCTGAGATCAATCATCTGATAGGCTATTGCAGTGCAGAAGCCCAACAATTATTCAGAATTAAAGGACAACAGGTGAATGGCATGAATGCCTCTGAGACAACACAAAGAGCATGAACTCTGATATTTTTGAGAGCAGAAAAACCCTAATGTCTCAAACCTGGGGATGGGAACAAAAAGTCAACATCTGGATTTCAACAACTACAATAACCCTCACTTTTTATACAAATTTCTTTTCCAATTCCCCATATGTTGGACCATGGTGTGAAATGGGCAGTCCCATACACATATACAGGCTGGGTGGAGAATGGATTGCGAGCAGCTCTGAGGGGCAACACCTTGGGGGTGTTGGTGGGTGAGCAGCTCAGCATGACTCAACAACGTGCCCTGGCAGCTCCAAGGACCCCTCTGCCTTTCTGGGCTGCATGTGGGCAGCAGGCAAGGGAGGGCCTGCTGCCCTCTCCCCCTCTGCTCCACCCTGGTGAGACCCCACCTGCAGTGCTACATCCAGCTCTGGGGCTCCCAACATAAGGATGTCAACATGTGGAGTACGTCCAGGGGAGACCATGAAAATGCTGAAAGAGCTGGAGCACCTCTGCTGTGGAAACAGGCTGAGAGAGTTGGGCTTGTTCAGCCTGGAGAAGAGATGGCTCTGGGGAAACCTGAGAGCTCCCTCCATTACCTGAAGGGGCTACAAGAGAGCTGGAGGGGGGCTTTGGAAAAGGGCATGAAGTGATAGGACAAGGCAGGGGGGCTTCAACCTGAAAGAGGGAAGGCTTAGATTGGATGATGAGTTAGTCATCTGCTCGCACAGGTGAAACTGAAGGAGGAAAGGAAAAGCTGTGATGTCTTCCATGATCCAAACCAGGAATCAGAGAAAAATCTACAGAAGAGAAGCCAACTGCAGAATGCTTTCCTTAGCAGACTGGAAATGTTCATAGCAGCCTTACATTTTCAGCTTGTTTTAGGCATCTTGAAATTACAGATGGAAGAACTTTTCCACAGCCCTGCAGTATCTGATTCTCAGCAGCAATACGGAAGGCACTCATTCTTTGCCTGGTATGTTATATGGACGGGGATC